ATGATGATGATGATGATGATGATGATGATGATGATGTTTATCATTGTTAATTACTTATCAAAATGATGGAAAATTGCCTTTTTTAGACAAGAAATGAAATAATAAACGAAAAAAAAAAGGACGCATATCATCCTTTTATGTGCATTGGAATAAATTGAGTTAATCAATTTTCATCCTTTAAAAGGGTTGAAAATGAAGTTAATGATGGTTATCACAATTTATCAGTTATCAGAATGATGAAAAAAAAAGGAAGATAGAAGATTGAAAGGGCAAAGGCCGTTTCTTCATTGCATTGATGACAATCTTTTGCTGTAACTGCTCGTTTTAACCAGTACTGAGTGGAGCTATTCGTTCCTTCACAACAACCATCCATTTCTTATCAAAACTCGTTTCGTTTTTTTTTTTTTTAAATTATGTTTCAACCATTTCTTCAACTACTTTCTCCTCCTGTACACTTACTAAATTATATCCATTAATTCCGATATCGTTCTACTTATCATTTTTTAAATATTTCATTAATAAAATTAGTGATTCTCATAGAATTAAATATGCATATCTAATGATATGCATATGATGAAAACATCGAGATAGATATGATATCCATTTATATTATTCATCAAACATCCATAATTTAATTTAATGTTCCAGGATTGTTACAAAATGTTCCTAGAATTAATTAACTAAGATTCCATCTTTTTAGGATCATACAATTTGCATATTTATAATACATACGAATAAAAAAATAATAGTTAATCAATATGCCATACTTCACATCAAGTTTTCGGAAAATCTACAAGAATTTTCACTGAAATTAACAGTATCATTTTATTTAGACGTAGATTTATCAGACAGAAATAATTAAATCAATCATTAATCACAGCATTTATTTGTCTAAATATTTGATGCCCACGTTCAAAATCAATCAATTATTGATCATTTAAAAAAAAATTCACAATACAAAGCAATTCACTACAAAACATTTAAATCATTATTAATTCAACAAATATACGCCAATGTATTACAATCAAATCCTTTTATTCTATCTATTCAAAAATTTTTCAAATTATTTTTTGCTTTATTTTTATAATTTTGAATGGAATAAAATTTTACATTGGATGAAATGAAAGAAAGTAAAAAAAAAGAGTGGAATAATTGAAAGGAATTTCAAACAAAAAAATTGGCACCTATAGAATATAAACATATAAGTATTTAATTATACATGATGCAATACTACAAAATTGGATATTTCAGTTCCCTTGATAACTTTTATCCTATAAAAGTCCATATATATATATATATACAGACAAGTAATAATGAAAACGATTAAAAGGCAATTTAAATATCGGCGACAATTTCACTTCTTTATGTGAACAACAATGAATTTGTTCCGATGGAAGATGTTCATTGCAGCTCCTTTCCAACTGACAAATATATAATATATATATTTATACATGTACATGAATGAATTCTATTTTTGTTTCATTGAAAATTTTAAAGGAAATGGAGAAATGGAAGTGAAATTGTTAGATGAGGGTCATTAATATTATATCATAAGAATATGAGGCCCGAAAAGTTAGCAAATAAAGGAATTTTTCCACAATGATTTATTTTCTAATGTTAATTTCGTATTGCATTAATATTAAATCCACCATTTAATCAATAAATTAAATTGTGTCAACAATATATTCTTTTTTATAATACACTGAAAGGAAAGCTTTTGTGCAACGCATCACACGTATTCAATCGGAAGTGACGGAGATTCACGCAGGCCGCAATTTCCTAAGTGTTGTGAGAAGTGTCAGCTGAGTGTAATCTTCGTTTACGGCGATTCTTATGTTGGTGGTGCGGTTTTGTTTTATGGTATGGGTGCTAATTGGTAGCATTTACGTAAATTGTACTGAGCGAAAGAAAGTGAAAAAGGTTAATCTTCAACTCTTTTACTCTCGTTATTTTTAAAAGAATTATCATGTTAATCTCACTTCTGTGAGTGTAGCATTTTGAAATTCTAGAGAAAAAAGAGTTAATGTTGTCAGATCAGGTAAAAGTAAGCATTAAAGTTGTCGAAAATGAAATAAAAGTGAAAATTGTCGATATTTTTTGAAATTTGTGGGATATACGTGATTATACGGAGCGCGATCTGGAAAGGTTATACGATCAGTGGATAGAGAACGATGACGATGAATTGGAGGAGGATGAATTGCCACCGTACAAGCGGAAAACACAGCAACCGGATCTTGATAAGATCATGAAACAGGTATGCATTTCTGTAATCGTCATGAGTAATTTTTCTGAATAGTTCTTTGATGGGGTTTCATTTTCAGTGTACTTGATAGCTTTTTGTGGGATTTTTTCATAAATTGATAGCTTAGCTTATAGTCGAGAAATTTGATTTTAATAGGATCGTTGAATATGAAATGGAAAGTTTTTCGAATCATTTCCTTTTCTTGTGGTTGTTACATTCTACATCAATTTATGAAAATTCAGTAAACTTGCAATATTGTTATAAATTGTTCGTCTACTATGAATGCTTGGTGAGTTAAATTTGTTTTTGTGATTGGAAATATTAGTTTTTTAATGCTTATGTGTGAACGTAGGCGAAGACACCGGAAGAATTAATGATGCTATCAAAGAAGGGACAGTCTGTGATGATGTTTGTTGGTATCGGTGATGTTAATGGCAAACGAGCCGAGAAATTTTACACGGAGAGGTGGATTGGGGTATGGCAAAATAGTCTCTTCAACAACCATATCGACGTTCAGGTTGTTTCATGTTAATGAATTTTCTTTCATTTTCGGCTCACTTCAAGAAATCTGACACGTTGTTAAAAAGTCGAGAATGCACTTCTGCTCGTTGAGTGATTGAAAAGAATCGGTCAGAAAGATTCTTCGGGTTTGGGTCGGTTTCATTGTGAGAAATTAAACAATTGTACTGTTAGTAACAGATGTGTCGCATATCATATTGATGACAGTATTCTCTTGAAAGTCAAACTTTTAAATATTTTCAAGTAGCCACTTTTTATATTTCCGATGTATATACATTATTTCACTCGACCATCATATCGTCGAAAAGATGAATTATGAATTTCTTTCAGACGTTCACAATCGACGATAATCGTGCAATCTTCATGTTTGCAGATGGATCGAAAGCATGGGAAGGAAAAGATTTTTTATTGAAACAACCGCAAGTAAGTGAAGTATCGCTGGAAGGACGACAATATCCTGGACCGGCTTTCAAGAAGGAGAAAAAAGAGGAATTATAGTAAATACTTTAGGAAATGTTATACGGGTATTTATGGATGGGCTTCTAACAGTGCAAGTTTTTTGTTGAGACTTCAGAACTTTTGACTGATAGCTCTATGGTTTTTTGTATGCTTTCCCGTGCCCCTCTTTGTCTTTCAGATATTTGCCTGTACCCAATTTTGAGATGTCACTTAAATGTTAGTTATGTAGTCAATTTATATTTTGATATATGTTTTCCTAATCAACTGTATAATGCTGCAGGAACATGCAGTGTATGTATGATGTTAACTGTTGTTATGTCTTACATATTTTTCACTAAATTCAATAAATTTTATTTGATTGTTATGTTACGCATATTTAGTAGTTGATCTTGTTATCATTTTCTGTATTTTTACCGTCATTCAGTTCTTAGTATCAATATGAATTTAAGCGGAGGAAGTAAATTAAGAGCTAATGTTAGAATTAGTCATATATGTGAATATCATTATTTATTTAGCGTGAGTAATCTAAAATATCTGTCCGGATGGCTTTTTTTTCAATTTCTTTTTTATATTACATAAAAGTCGAAAAAATATTTTTTGATTAAGTGATTTTATTCCGTTTTTGAATGAAAGAAAAGTTTAAAATCTTAGCAGAGCTCCTGGTTTTTCATTAAGAAGATTTAGATATTTGTTCCAAGAGAAAATTTGTGGAAAAAAATGCTTTTACTTCGATTTATTACTTTTCCTTTGAGAATTTAGGTAGCTGTATTGAAACTTTTATGCATATTTAGAAAGCTCAAGCAGTTTCATAAGGTTCTGGAAAGTTCACTTGAAAATGTATAGTTAATAAGCTATGAACTAAATTCTTATGATGATTTATTCTTTGAAATATTTAGAAAAAAATAAAATGATGTTAAGATGATCTGATTTAATCGTTTTGTTGACTAGATGAAATGATCCGCATATTTATTGTTTTTTAGAAACATGCTAATTAAGGTGAAATTTATTTACTGGTTTAATTCACACTTTATGCCGATTCACTTTTTTCTTGGACAGCATCCACAATTTCAGCTCAATTTCAATTTTTCCTGAACATGTGTTGATGGAAAACTCGGTTGATTTTGAAGAGTGGCAATTGTCGAAACTTGATCATTTTTTGGTAAGTATATTGTCCCCTTTTATACCCGAAATGTCTTTAGAACTTAATCTTGCCATGTATTAAGTTGTGAGATGCAGTTAACGGTAACTTAATTAGATGGCAAAGTAAATTAAATAATGGGAAGTTTGATTTTTGATTCTTTGTACTGTTCGATGCTTTCACCGTAAGAGAATCAGATGTGCTCGGAAATTAATTATATGAATGTTTTCTATTTCAGTGTGTAAAATTGCTTTGTTCAAAAACTTTCAAACTTATGATATTCTTCGGAAGGGTAGATATTATTTTTAATAGTTTACTTCGTTACTCCATACTTTCTCTGTTTCATTTAGGCTTTTGTAGATTATTGGAGGTATATATTGTGAAAGGATGTGAGGTTTTACAGAGTAAAATCCCTCTAATATTTTTAACAAACAGATAATAATATGTCGGAATTTGGGACCTAATAAAATTGCAAAAGAATGGCACATAAAATCATACATTTTCCAAGGAAGGGTGTATGACTGATGGATTTGTCAGAAATGTTATTAAGAAATGAAAAGTAAATAAATCCTTTTCACTCGTAAACTACTATTTTCAAAAATTGTTATTTCAGAGTAAATTATAAAATTTACTTATTACGAAAAGCTATTTCATTCTATTCATCAAAAAAATTTATAATTTACTTTTTCCTTAACTTACTATCTGTTCTGAAACTATTCTCGTTTATCTGAGCGTGCGTACTCTGTCTTCTGCTTTAATATTCATGAGTGGTTATCGATAAGAAATTCATCAGTTAAGTCATTTAGGCGGTAACAAATATTCATGATACAGAAGTAGCTCTATCACTATTAAAATCTTTAAATTGGGATATGGAGAAGGCAATCGAGGAACATTTACTGGACAATACGGAAAGTCTTTCGATGTCATCATCAGGGTCTGATTTTATTGTCATTGACAGCAGTTTATCGAATAATGAACATATTGAGAGGTTCGTTATGTTTTGCTATCCACTCATTTGAAGATTTGTAAAGTTCTTCGTATAACTTGATTTTTTGTACTAGTTTGCTTTTGTCAATCCTAATTTTTTATTTTTCAATACATGCCTGTACCGATCTTTTCAATACATGCCTGTACCGATCGATATGAACTGCTTGGATTGATAGGATCATTAAGAATTCTCATGTTTTACTTACCGTACTGATTTATTATGCAAAAAAATAGATCATTGAAATGTTTTTTTAGATCGATGGATGAACCTACAATTATTTATAATACGAACTGGAATACAGCTATAGCATCACTTCCTGATGATAATACAAGGTTAAACAGCTAAATATTTACTGGGATTAACGTTGATAATTCATCTGTTGTGAATTCTAATAGCTAACCTATGTACTGCTTTTCAAATTTGTTATCCTTATTTTCTCAGTTATTCCCTTTTTTGATTTTGTCGGTTAAAAAAAAAATATTTAGTTAAGAAAATCATAATTCTCTGATCTCTCGTCAGCAAATTGTTTACAGTGAGTCAGATGACTCATATGAAGTAATCAGTATTAGTGAAGGAACCAGTGCTGTGAGCTATGCAAATGTCAAAGCAAATATAGATGATAGTGAACAATGTGATCTGAAAATTAGTTTTATTCTCGGAAGTTCACCTATCGTGACCGATTATGTGAAACAAAAAAATGATGAACATTGACGAAATGAACTGAGGTAATTCTTTTTTCTTTTCTCCCTATGGAGAATATAAAATCTCATCAGCTATTGGGTCTTAATTCAGGACTGCAACAATGAAGTTCCAAAATCTTGTTCTGATTTGATGGTCCTTGTAACGTTTGCATTTGAGAACGGTGTGACTGTTTTTGAAATCAACAGAAAGCAAGCCGCCACGCTAATGTGTTTAGGCATTATTTATTGTGTTTCAAATTAAGCTTATGCTTCCCATGTCATCATTGTATAATTTCTAATTTTAGATCTTCCGATAATTTCATAGTACAAGTCTGCTTGGTTGAGAAAGAGTTGGGATGAATTATTCCGAAGAAATTAATTACAAAGACTAGTGGGCTAGAAAGTTTCATGACTAAATTCTTGTGAAAGATTATGCCTGATAAGCATGATTACGTCAGGGGACTATTATTCGAATATTTTAACCTTCCCAAATCCCACTTATTTTTGGAAGCATATAAAAATTGTTCCTGCTCATTCATTTATTTGTTATGGAGCCGTATTCGGTTATATCTTTGTCTTTGTAGTGTCATTAAATATGAGATCCTGAATCACTCAGTATAATAAATTTCTATCTTTTATAACAGCAATAATCTTGGATTTAAACCATGATCGGATAGGATTTTGTCAGACTACAGCAACAAGAAAAACCCATTTTATAATCAATTTAAACTATTAGGTACTGGAAAACCGATCTCGTCATTTGAACTCTTTCTGCAGAAAGTTAAATATTTTCATTTTATTTTGATTGCCAAGTTTATTATAAACATCGTAGATTTATTTTTATCTGAAAAGCTCTGAGTTGCCATCGCTTCATTGTTACTTAAGATATCCTTCTTAATAATTTTATGCTTTTTAATTTATTATAATTCTAATTCTATACTGTATCATTTCTGCTAAATTCAATCAAACAGATAAATGTTTGAGTGCAAATCTGGAACTCTGTTTGAACTATGTATGTTTTTACTTGTTTCAAAGTTTTTGAAGTTAAAATCATCTTAAAATCATCTTGGAGTTCTTAACAATTATGATATAGTCTGCATAATATCACAGAAAATCACGTAGGCTGACCTAAAAAAAATATATCAAAATATAAATTGACTACATAACTAACATTTAAGTGACATCTCAAAATTGGGTACAGGCAAATATCTGAAAGACAAAGAGGGGCACGGGAAAGCATACAAAAAACCATAGAGCTATCAGTCAAAAGTTCTGAAGTCTCAACAAAAAACTTGCACTGTTAGAAGCCCATCCATAAATACCCGTATAACATTTCCTAAAGTATTTACTATAATTCCTCTTTTTTCTCCTTCTTGAAAGCCGGTCCAGGATATTGTCGTCCTTCCAGCGATACTTCACTTACTTGCGGTTGTTTCAATAAAAAATCTTTTCCTTCCCATGCTTTCGATCCATCTGCAAACATGAAGATTGCACGATTATCGTCGATTGTGAACGTCTGAAAGAAATTCATAATTCATCTTTTCGACGATATGATGGTCGAGTGAAATAATGTATATACATCGGAAATATAAAAAGTGGCTACTTGAAAATATTTAAAAGTTTGACTTTCAAGAGAATACTGTCATCAATATGATATGCGACACATCTGTTACTAACAGTACAATTGTTTAATTTCTCACAATGAAACCGACCCAAACCCGAAGAATCTTTCTGACCGATTCTTTTCAATCACTCAACGAGCAGAAGTGCATTCTCGACTTTTTAACAACGTGTCAGATTTCTTGAAGTGAGCCGAAAATGAAAGAAAATTCATTAACATGAAACAACCTGAACGTCGATATGGTTGTTGAAGAGACTATTTTGCCATACCCCAATCCACCTCTCCGTGTAAAATTTCTCGGCTCGTTTGCCATTAACATCACCGATACCAACAAACATCATCACAGACTGTCCCTTCTTTGATAGCATCATTAATTCTTCCGGTGTCTTCGCCTACGTTCACACATAAGCATTAAAAAACTAATATTTCCAATCACAAAAACAAATTTAACTCACCAAGCATTCATAGTAGACGAACAATTTATAACAATATTGCAAGTTTACTGAATTTTCATAAATTGATGTAGAATGTAACAACCACAAGAAAAGGAAATGATTCGAAAAACTTTCCATTTCATATTCAACGATCCTATTAAAATCAAATTTCTCGACTATAAGCTAAGCTATCAATTTATGAAAAAATCCCACAAAAAGCTATCAAGTACACTGAAAATGAAACCCCATCAAAGAACTATTCAGAAAAATTACTCATGACGATTACAGAAATGCATACCTGTTTCATGATCTTATCAAGATCCGGTTGCTGTGTTTTCCGCTTGTACGGTGGCAATTCATCCTCCTCCAATTCATCGTCATCGTTCTCTATCCACTGATCGTATAACCTTTCCAGATCGCGCTCCGTATAATCACGTATATCCCACAAATTTCAAAAAATATCGACAATTTTCACTTTTATTTCATTTTCGACAACTTTAATGCTTACTTTTACCTGATCTGACAACATTAACTCTTTTTTCTCTAGAATTTCAAAATGCTACACTCACAGAAGTGAGATTAACATGATAATTCTTTTAAAAATAACGAGAGTAAAAGAGTTGAAGATTAACCTTTTTCACTTTCTTTCGCTCAGTACAATTTACGTAAATGCTACCAATTAGCACCCATACCATAAAACAAAACCGCACCACCAACATAAGAATCGCCGTAAACGAAGATTACACTCAGCTGACACTTCTCACAACACTTAGGAAATTGCGGCCTGCGTGAATCTCCGTCACTTCCGATTGAATACGTGTGATGCGTTGCACAAAAGCTTTCCTTTCAGTGTATTATAAAAAAGAATATATTGTTGACACAATTTAATTTATTGATTAAATGGTGGATTTAATATTAATGCAATACGAAATTAACATTAGAAAATAAATCATTGTGGAAAAATTCCTTTATTTGCTAACTTTTCGGGCCTCATATTCTTATGATATAATATTAATGACCCTCATCTAACAATTTCACTTCCATTTCTCCATTTCCTTTAAAATTTTCAATGAAACAAAAATAGAATTCATTCATGTACATGTATAAATATATATATTATATATTTGTCAGTTGGAAAGGAGCTGCAATGAACATCTTCCATCGGAACAAATTCATTGTTGTTCACATAAAGAAGTGAAATTGTCGCCGATATTTAAATTGCCTTTTAATCGTTTTCATTATTACTTGTCTGTATATATATATATATATGGACTTTTATAGGATAAAAGTTATCAAGGGAACTGAAATATCCAATTTTGTAGTATTGCATCATGTATAATTAAATACTTATATGTTTATATTCTATAGGTGCCAATTTTTTTGTTTGAAATTCCTTTCAATTATTCCACTCTTTTTTTTTACTTTCTTTCATTTCATCCAATGTAAAATTTTATTCCATTCAAAATTATAAAAATAAAGCAAAAAATAATTTGAAAAATTTTTGAATAGATAGAATAAAAGGATTTGATTGTAATACATTGGCGTATATTTGTTGAATTAATAATGATTTAAATGTTTTGTAGTGAATTGCTTTGTATTGTGAATTTTTTTTTAAATGATCAATAATTGATTGATTTTGAACGTGGGCATCAAATATTTAGACAAATAAATGCTGTGATTAATGATTGATTTAATTATTTCTGTCTGATAAATCTACGTCTAAATAAAATGATACTGTTAATTTCAGTGAAAATTCTTGTAGATTTTCCGAAAACTTGATGTGAAGTATGGCATATTGATTAACTATTATTTTTTTATTCGTATGTATTATAAATATGCAAATTGTATGATCCTAAAAAGATGGAATCTTAGTTAATTAATTCTAGGAACATTTTGTAACAATCCTGGAACATTAAATTAAATTATGGATGTTTGATGAATAATATAAATGGATATCATATCTATCTCGATGTTTTCATCATATGCATATCATTAGATATGCATATTTAATTCTATGAGAATCACTAATTTTATTAATGAAATATTTAAAAAATGATAAGTAGAACGATATCGGAATTAATGGATATAATTTAGTAAGTGTACAGGAGGAGAAAGTAGTTGAAGAAATGGTTGAAACATAATTTAAAAAAAAAAAAAACGAAACGAGTTTTGATAAGAAATGGATGGTTGTTGTGAAGGAACGAATAGCTCCACTCAGTACTGGTTAAAACGAGCAGTTACAGCAAAAGATTGTCATCAATGCAATGAAGAAACGGCCTTTGCCCTTTCAATCTTCTATCTTCCTTTTTTTTTCATCATTCTGATAACTGATAAATTGTGATAACCATCATTAACTTCATTTTCAACCCTTTTAAAGGATGAAAATTGATTAACTCAATTTATTCCAATGCACATAAAAGGATGATATGCGTCCTTTTTTTTTTCGTTTATTATTTCATTTCTTGTCTAAAAAAGGCAATTTTCCATCATTTTGATAAGTAATTAACAATGATAAACATCATCATCATCATCATCATCATCATCATCATCAT